GTGCTGAACGCCTGTTCATCTGACATAAGTGAGAAAATCACTGCTCAATAAAAAATAAAATGGGAAAATCACAGCCAACTTTTACTGTCCACATCTTCTCAAAATATCTTTGTGCCTAAAAATATTGAGGAGGACCACAACAAACCAGGAAAGTGCAGAGAAGACAACAGAATGCATGGCGGCCATGAAGAGCTCACCAGAGCAGGGGAGAGGCGGCGGGTGGCCGGTGTTACACCTGATTCTATGACCCCACCTGACCGTGACCCAAATGGGCGCTACACGAATATCACTACAGCTTTCTTTGGGTTTAGGTGATAGTTTTGAGTCCAGTCTTAACTTGATAACTTGCATAGATCAAAGGAGTCTGGTGCTTTCTGGAATCAGTTTGACATCCCTGCTTTATCCGATTTCAATCTAAATGTATCTTCCATTTCGATAAAAAGAAAAAGCTTAGTCTCCACCTACCTTCTTTGAAACACTTAGCTGTGTCATATCGCTGAAACTTTGTCAAAATATTAACATTTTATATCAGTCCATATAGATAAAGATTGATCAATATTTTGTTGACCAATTGACCAAAGAAATATGGACCAGGGGAAAGAAACGTTAAGCTTCACAAACAGGTGAGCTCTACCACCAACCTGGCTCAGTTTGGCTGTGAGACGTTGAGGCTAAATCTGTCATTGTTCAAGTTTTAACTCTGAGTTTCATTGGTCTTGTTTGCATTCTTGTGTTCTGGGTATTTTTGATTGTATTTGAGTTCTTAGATATTTCCTGTTTGCCCTCATGTGTCAGTCTCCTTTTCCTTAGCTCCCTTCTAGACTCCTCTGTTCACACCTGCTCCCAATCTGCTAATTAGCCTGGCCTTTATTTCTCTCTCCGGTTCAGTCACTCTTTGCTGGTTTGTCGTCATTACTTTGTCCCCTTCTTGTTGTGGGTATTTCTGGTTGTTCCGTATTTTTGCTTTTGTTGAACTTTTGGTTAATTAAAACCTTCAAGTAACAACCTTAAGCTTTTGTGTCTGCATTTGGGTCCTGTCAAACCACTGACAAAATCCTTTCCTCCATCTACATCCTTCAGATCATCATGTGGTTCTGAATTAAGCATCAGTTGAATTATTAAATATTTTATCGCATATATTTCCCATTGAAATAGATCAAAATCGCATCCAATTCCTAAATGGTTATCATGACATCCAGCGAATATCGCTGTAATCCATCACAGGTCTCGCTTCGCTTTAATCACCATCATTGTGTCCATTTCATCACTAGGAGTGTGCTGTTGCTATGCGGCGCTCCTGAACATAAAAACACATTTGTTTAGGATTGCTTCGACTGTTCTAGTTAAACAGTTCAACTGAAACATCATTAGTTCAACTTTTTTATTTTCTTTAGTCCAACTGTTTTTAATGTTCTTTTTTGTTCCAGCATTTATTTTTTTTCCTACTTGCTTTGATTCTGTTTTATTTTCCTATATTTTAATCATGCAAAGCACTTTGCATTTGTCTTTGTACTGAATTGTGCTATACAAATAAATTTGCTTTGCCTTGAACGCACCTCCATAACTCCAGATGGGGATACAATAAAATGAGAATACGGTGACGTGAATCAAGTTGTGCGTATGCAACAACCCCCCAAAACACTGTTCCACAACTCATCAGGAGCATTTTATGACAAATCACTGAGCATAGTGTTTTATTTTAAACCACATTAAGCCCCGCCCATTTGTAGTATGCCCCGCCAATTTTTCTGGGTTTGTTGGAGGGATGCACAATATAATCAGCCCCCTATCGGTATCGGCCTTAAAACTGAATATCGGACATTGGCCACCCCACCGATATTTAACCCGATATTTGATCAGCTTCTGAATTTCTAAAGTCTAAAAAAAAATAATAATAATAAAAAAAAATACTACCTTTTCTTCTTCCTCAAAATCTTACTTTTCACAGACTTAAAAACTTCTAAAGACAAGGGAAAAAATATTGATACATTAAAATATCACAATACCTTCATATGCTGATATATTGCCATTTAAAAACACCATATCAATCTCTTTTACTAATGAAATATTGCTATATGTCATCGTTATGCTACGAAATCCCCGAAAATTCACGAAATGTTGCCATATTTTTATATGTTGATATATTGACGCGGTATCGATCTATTTTACTAACAAAATCTCACAAGAATTTGCAAAATATCACGAGAGTTTGTAACAGAACGATGAAATTTCACGAGATTTTGAAAGTAAAATAGATCGATACCGCGTTTTTAAAAATCAATTTGATATCAGCATATGAAAATATATTTGAGTATATTATTTTTCAAAGTGTCAGAAATGGATAACAAAACTGCTATTTTCAATGACTACTTATATTTGTCCAGCTTTAACATCGGTATAGATATCGGTTATCGGCTACGTGAGTTTTAAAATATCGGCATATCGGATATCGGCCAAAATCCCAACATCGTGCATCCCTAGTTTGTTGCTCAAAAAATCTTTTCCTCTCGCTCTTAAACTGAAGGCTTCTCTGGTCTCAGTCTTTCACTTCATGTTTGCTGAGAACTTCAGTACCAACATCATTGGAATTACAAAGTATAACAATGTGAAAGACGACAAGACATCCATGTTTACAGAAAAAAAAACCAACCCAAAACAATTTATTTGGGATACGCATCGCCGATACAAATCAAGAGTTACCTTCCAGCTAACGTTCTCCACAGACAACAGGGTTTGATTTGTAATTAAAAAGACAATATACTTTCTTTTTACATAATCAGAGATCTTCAAAGTTAAAAGTTTTTCACTCTGAAGTCCTTATAAAAAAAAAGCAACGGAAAGGAAAAGACGTTAACATTCCACACACTGCAGTACGGTATTTTATTGAAGAACAAAAAAAAAAAAGACATGCAACAAATAAAACATTTCATGTTTTACAAATTGTTCCGTCCTCTTCCCTCATCTCTCTATCCCCCCCACCCCCCCCAAACTAAAAAGCATCATCACATGAAGCTTCAGTTATATTTGACAGGCAAATGTGAAAAGAAATGTTGCGGCTTCTTTGAAAATAAAAGAAAAAAAAAAACAGAAAAAGAAACAATCCTTGTGTTTTCCTTGCATGGCCGGCGCTGTCAGTTCTGTCCGATGCCTTCTGAAGACACGAGTGACGCTGGTTCTTCAACGCCGCGCGGCCCCCTCGGCTGTAACACTGAGTTTGGGGGGGTTCTCAGTCATCCCAGTAAGTTAGGATGGTGTTTTCACACCGACGCTGGAGCTCTGAAATCCATGATTTCAAACAAGTGTAATAAATACAAACACGCTGACTTCTTTAGAAAAGAATACTAAAAGCGACTCGGATTTCAGGCAGTTCTGTGACCGAATTCAGGTTCCTGTTAAAGTTCTGTTTGGCTAAAAGCAAAAGTCTCTTTAAAAAAAAAAACAAACAATAAAACTTCAGTCTGTGGTCTGAATACATAATAAGATAAAAACAAGAGCATCCGTCCAACTCCAGAGGTGTTTAAGGAAGAGTAAAGGTGCGTTATCTACATACTGTATACAGAGCATTCCTGGGCTAATTCACAGAGACAAACAGAACCCCAACGATGACAAAGGAAATAAAAAGCAGATGATTTATTCACAAAGGGGAGACCTGCATGGGGAGCGGTTCCTCTCTTGGATTCCTAAGAAGGCCTCTGAGGATGAGGAGCATCCAGACAGCCTCGGCGCTGCAGTGGATCGGATCCTAAAGCTCATCCCAACGGTATGATTCAAAGATTTTTGGTATCAAAGTAAGTTGGTGCTTTTAGAACATCTGTGATCCGAGCAGAGCTTTAATAACACCTCGTTCTGTAGGTACAACCAAAGCCGCAAAGTTTTAGCTCACATTTCGGACTGATTCAGAAAAGGAAGATATATCCAAGCCGAATATTCCCAATTATTTTTGGATTAGGAGTATTTGGCAAAAATCTCTGGAAATGTTACCGTCGTCCTCTCACCATTTGGCACAGAATAAGTCCCACCTCACCCGTCCTTAATGTTTGAACCCCCCCCATCCCCACAGTATGACACTCAGATTTGGTTACCAGCGGTATTTGGCCTGATCTGCTTCCATAAAACATGTGAATGTGTGACAACGACGGCTATGACGGCATACCATTCTCCCCGAGCAGCAGGCATCATTGTGCTTTATTCTATACTGACCTGCTTTAGCCATCCCTGTCAGCTTTGTAGTTTCCTGGATTTACTGCAAAACTCCCCCGACGTGTTCATCTAAATCTGCCTGTAAAGTTTGCTGTTCCACATACCGTAGAAATATAACCCAAACACTGAATGACTTCCAAAACCATTTATAACCCAGGAACTTTCTTCACATTTTGTCGGGTTACATCTTCATGGTCAAATATGGGGTTAAAGGAATAGTATACCCAAAACATGATTAGCCTTCATTTTCTACTCACCCCCATGCTGAACAACACTCTGGAGTACTTTTTTGATATCTCAAATGCATCTGGAGATCTGGGAGGCTTCTTGCTGTCTGCTGACATTCAAATAATGGAGGTCTATGGCGCCCGAGGCAGAAAGGTCCATAAAAGTCCACAAAAAACGTGTCAATATTCCTCCATACTGCTCGTCCAATGTATTCCAAGTGTCCTGAGTGGGTAGCATCCAGAATTTACTCGAAACGAAGTCATTTAGAATGTTTTTAGAGCATAAACAGTAGTGTATAGGATTTCCTAAAAGTGCGCGCCTGCGAGTTCACGAGTCTACGGAAACCGCGGCAGACCAAACCAGATGTTTTATCAGAATTACAGAGTATTTCTTCACTGAAAGAAGAGCAAAACACTGCTCTGGAGGCTTTTCTCAGAGGAAAAGATGTTTTTGCTCTTCTCCCGACTGGTTTCGGCAAGAGTTTGATCTATCAATTGGCTCCTCTTCGTCGTCGCTCTGTTAGTACGTCATATGCTTCGTTGATCTGATTGGTTTATTTGGCCCGTCTATCACCAACATAGGCCAATCAGCTAACCAGTATTTTCGCCCCTTCCCAAAATTACTTCAACGGAAGGTTTCCAGATGGATATGCGGAGCAAATCCATCTGGCGGAGTCAGGTTAGCCCGGCTTCACTTGACTTGCACACAGGAGGCCCCAGTTCAAATCCCTGCTGGGTGGGACGAGCTGCCATTTTGGGTGCTTAGGAAGCTCCTTTATGCTAATCCCTACGTTATTCTAACATTGTTTCTACTTTGTAAGTCGCTTTGGATAAAAGTGTTTGCTTAATACATAAACATGACCCCCTGAAACCAAAACAGCAACTGCATGGAATTAAACGTTGCCAGTTTGACCTCTCGGAGCGATACTGATATGCTTAAAAATGTCCGGCATGGACGTTGATATATAGAGCATCACTTTTTTCTACTGGATTAAGATGCATCAGGACATGCTCTTGCTAGTTTTGCACCATTGCACATAAAAACCCAACCTTAATAAACTAGGGTGAGATTTATGGCTGCAACCCGACAAAATGTGGAAGAAGCTCCAGAGGAGTCGGTGCTATAGAAAGTAACTCAGACTGGAATTGTTGTAATGACACAAACCCCAAATTCCCGTCCAGGGCTGAACTTTGGCACCACTGAAAAACACAAACCTGACGGGGGAACCAGAACGGACCTTTAGGAGAGGGGATGCAGCTCTAAATGTCAATAAGAGGGAAGCATCTGAAACGTCTGCTGAGCTGGAACTGAAAGCAGAGGTAGTGTGTTTGATGAAAGAGGACGTCCGGCTTTCAGCTGCTGACTCGGAGCTCCTAACGGGAAGCAAACTTGGACATCGAGTGGAAAATGTACAAACTGTGAAGTCCAGACATGAGCCCCCCCTCAGACCGAAAAAGAAAACAAATGTTGTCCTTGATGGTGGATGCATCGTCTCCAGACCCCCAACTGCCTCAGATCGCATCCAGTCCTGCAGGATGGGTGGGGGATTTCAAAGACTGGAGGGGCGGTGATGATGGTGGGTGGGGGGGGGGATCAGTTGGAGGTGTCGGAGTGAACGCTTCCGGGTCCTTCTGTGGGGGAAGTCACTGAGGAGGGGGTCGGAGCATCGGGCCAGCCGCCGTTTGCCTGCCAGGGAAACAGAAACAGGATGAGTTCAGGCTTCTATCATTGATCTGAACCGCTGTTTGTCCAGAGAGAGAAATTATAACAGAATTTACAACTTCAAGGACCTTTAATGACAACACAGCATATGTTTGAATTGACCCCAACCTGCCTGTAAAAGCCACCAGCAGGCTGCTGGCACTATTCTGACGGCATATCGGAGCCCTCTAAAGGGCAGAGGAGAACCAGCTTCATTACTGGACTCTGCTTAGATTAGGGATGGAACGGTTTATGAAAACCGTCCGAACCGTTCGGTTCGACTGTCTCGGTTCGGTTTGCTTGTGTTGCGTTCGGTTCTTGCGCTGCTCCTTCTTCTCGTAGAGGAAGCGATTACACTCCAGAGAAGAAGGTGGCGGTACTGCGACCAAAGCCAACCACCAGTAGTAAACAAGAAGAAGAAGCGAAGCAGCGTAGCCGGGTGTAGCAGAAAAAAATACTCCGTCAGCGCTCCGCTCCGCTGCGCTCCAGGCCGCCTGCACAAAGGAAAGCCTACAGCCTCCACTGTGGCTCCCGTCGCTCCGAGTTCCTTGGAGATTGTACAGGGCATGCGCCAGATGATTAAATTCAAAGCAGCAAAACATGCGGAAATGATGCAGGGTTTTCGCGGATAACTAAAAATAATTACAATTCATTAATTTTTCTTACATCTTTTCATTAATTACATGAATTTTTATGGGATTTCTGTGTAACAATCAACATATACCGAACCGAACTGAAAACAGTGACCACGAAACCATGAACCGAACCGAACCGTGGATTTTGTGAACCGTTCCACTCCTAGCTTAGACCCACATGGACCCGCTGAAGGCGGAGCTCGACCCGTTTGGCCAGAATGAGAAGAAAGACGAGATGAGGAGCCAACTTGAGTCTTTCCAACACAGCTTAGAGCCAAACACGATGGAGGGAGAATCATGCTGAGGGTCGTTATGGTGCCAGTGGTCCTGCTGCCTCTAAACTGGGACACAACTGGTTCTTCCAACAGAACAGTGATGAGAATCTGGATCAACCGCAGATGAGCTGCCGGCAGTCATCCAAATACAAGTAGATGGAAATATTTGTCATAGATCAGATAATTTTATTTATTCCCGTTGGTCTGGTTTAAAAAAATGCCTCAAATCAGCATCAGATCCCTCCTGCTTACAGCTATCAACACCTACAACATCTTTAAAAAAATAAAGTATCAGTTATTGCAACATTTAATTTCCTTTTGGGATAAATAAAGTATTTTTGAATTGAATTGAACTGAATCAACATCGCCATCTTGAAAAGAGAACTGCTCAAATAAATGATTAAAATCCCGAAATGGATCCAACACTCCAGATCCATCTTGGTCCTCCGTGACGTCGAGGTTTAGGCCTTTAGCTCTGGTTCGGTGGACCCAGATCTGAAGCCCGTTTGGATGTACTAAACTGGTTTGTTCTAAAGTATTTTATTTTTAAACTTGAAAAAGACTTGAAAGTTAAAAGAATAATTTAAAAACTAACTCTTAGTTTTACATTTTTCTGCTGTGGTTTGAATCCGCTGCCCTCTCTGCGGAGGGGCGGGACTTACAAAATGATGAGAAGATTGATGACTGACAGCTTAGGTGACTTCATTAGATTCCAAATAATTTTCTGTTTAAATTTTGTATGATTTTCTTCAGTTCAAAAAAATTTTCTTAAACAAATTATATGGCCCCAATGTATCTCCGTACGTCCGGAGTAAAAGCTCATCTGAGAAAACTGGCTGTGGTGGAAAAGCTGCTCCATGATAGCAGGAGTTCTTCTCATCAAAGATTTGCAGCTTTGTTAAAGATAAAAATACCAACAGCAGAACAGCCGTCAAATCTGAAATCAAAACACCTTCAGGTGCTTGAAGAGGAAAAATGTGGTTTACTGAAACATTTAATTTAAAGTCGTAGTGAAGTCGTAGGGAAGTTCCGACTGTTGCATTTCCGAATTCTCTCGAGTGGTGCACAACTTTACACGAGTGATTAAAGTGAATTTGATTAGTCGTTTATTAAGGGGGCGGGATTGTTGTGGTGGAAGGTTCGCAAGCAAGTTTGATTGTGCCCAGTGTCTAAGAAGCATCTTGCTAACCAGTTAACAACTTAGTGCTGGCAGGTTCCCAATGGGATATTCCATTGGGACCAAGTAGCGAATAGAAACGACACTGTCAAGGAACGCTATGGACAGTGGAAACATGCAAGAGGAGGAGAGTTTAGTCTCCTCCTTCATCCATTTTTTTTATTTAGAGGAGGAAAACGGGGACGAAGATGTTGTGGAAGAGGACGCCAGGGCGGCAGAAGCTTGGTTTGGTGTAGAAGGCTTCCAGCCGTACATGTTCAGGGTTCCTACAGCATAAGGCAAGTTACAGTAAATTCAAGACTTTTTAATGCCACTTGAAATAAAAATTTAGGACCAAATTCACAAGAAACGCAAGAAAAATCTGCTTGCGACAACTTAACCCAAAGGTTTATTTTAACATAAACCACTGCACTAATGTTTCATATTTTGAAAAGCTTCCCATACAGGAAGAAAGCTAAAAACACACAGATGACAGATATATTTTAACAATTATTTAACTGAATTCACAAACTCTGTTTTGCAGAGACAAGGGTGGAACAAAACCGAGAAATACCAGCTGTTTCTCGGTAACTCGATTTTGACGCTTTGTGTTTCGCGCTTCGCATGTGCGACTCCACTGCCTTAATTCCCATCGTTCTGAGCTTTAAATCGCTTCTTGCACAAAATCCACTGAGCCTCATGTATGTTCCCTGGTTTTAGCCATGGAGAAAACTCTTGGCTGGAGACAATTTTCGTTACATTTACACTTGCTCATATTTTCCAGACAAAAAGTTAATGTTGCATCTCCCAAACGTCCCGGTCGCAAAAACGCTTTTATTGGTTCCGCTATCGAGACGGAACCAATAATGGCGAGCCGTTATTTTTTTTTTATGAAAAAAAATATAAATAAATTGTCAATTTTAACATTGTATTTAGATTACAAAATCGTAATAGAAACAATCCTATTTATGATGTTTTAAAAATTAAGACCTACGAAAGACTGATTTAAGACATTTTAATACCAATTAAGGCCTTAGTTTTATTTTGAAGAATTCAATGCCTTTTAAGACTTTTTAAGGACTCGTGGGAACCCTGATGTTTGAGCCCTTGCCTCGCAACGCTGCCAGTTCTGTTAGCTCTACGCCTGCCGAAGACACAGACGTCCATCCCCGTGAACACTGGGACGCAACGCAATGGGAAAGGAAAGGATTCTGATTTCAACCGTTGCGTATATTAGCTGCGACACATGAATCAAGATGCTATGACTGAAAAGATTTGATTGACAGATGCCCGTTGATATATGATTGGCCGAATTTATGTGTATAAGCTGACCTAAAACTAACTGGCCTGTATAAGATAACGGGAAAAAAAAACCCCCACAGATTTTAAGACAATTTTTTTTTTTTAAATAGAAATTTTCTAAATTTTGGGACAAAATGGGGTCCGATATGCCATCAGAATAGTGCCAGCAGCCTGCTGGTGGCTTTCAGAGGCAGGTTGAGGTCAATTCAAACATATGCAGTCTTGTTATTAAAGGTCCTTGAAGTTGTAAATTCTGTTATAATTTCTCTCCCTGATAAAGAATATATTTATATACATGTTTAAGCCAGAATGCTTTGACATTTAAATATGACTTCCCACGACTTTAATAAAAGATCTGATGGGAAACATGAGGCATCTTTGAAAGTTAAACCAACAAAAGATGCTTTGCATTCTTTCTTTCCTCAGTCAAAAAAAGTTTTGAACTGATTTTATTATTGAAATTTAAAAGTCTAATTTCAGTGTGTGAAACAAATGTGAAGCTGGGTGGATGGACTCCGTCCACTCTGTCCTGCATTAAGGAGCACAACTGCTGACGTTTATAAAGCCAGAATATTTCTATGGTGTTTTTTTTTGTTGGCTTTTTTTAAGCCAAAGAAAAAAAAAATGACAGTACATTTCAGAACAAAGCAGGAAATAGCATGTGACCCTCCTCCTCCTCCTCCTGGCTACATAAATCAGCCTGGCTGACAGATTTCCTGCTCTTACATTATACATAGCAGAGCTTTTTTACAGGCTGGATAACACAGCATAGTGTGGCGCTGTAAGATGTGCTAGAGCAAGCAGGCGTCCAAGGAGAACTGCATCTTTTGAGGTCAAAGGACCGGGGAGGAGCAGGGCCTGAATACGTTAGCGGCCTCTCAGGGTTAGCGCAGCTGGCTGTGGCGTGCGCTCCCAGCAGCCAGGGAGCCTATTTGAATACACGTCCATGTTTTTCTCCCTCCATCTGATTATCATATGGCCAGTGAGGCACGACGGCGACAGCGGAGGAACCCAGCCGCGGCTGTGACCGTCCTCGTCCTCTCGGCGCGGCTCGCTGTCAGGGCCATTAATGTGGCAGGAACATGATCTGAGCAATGCGCTTGGATTGCTGTCCCAAGTCCACACTCTGCTCTCCTTGTGTCTGTCTTATCGATTTTCCCCTTTACGACACGGCTTGTCGCTGCGAATTTTCCTACTGTTTCCCGCCGCCAGCTAACTACACCAGCCCCCCCCCTCCTTCACGCTCCCACTTCCACACCCAAACTCTGCTGCAAAATAAGACAAACAAGATGGGAACACGCGAGGAGGGCATTCTAGCAGAGTGAGGTTTTATTTTTAACGCCGCCTCCTGGCGAGCATCCGCACGAGCTTCTGGCTGATCGTGGTCAGGTGGACGGAGCGCCAGGCGTACACCTGGCTGCAGGTGTCTGATGAGAGGTGACAGGGTCAGACGGCGAGCGCTCCGGCCCCGTGGCACGAGCGACACAGAGGCCATCAAATAGGTTGCCATGGAGACCAGACAAGTCCTAATAAGTGGCTTTCTGAGCCCCATGGCTTCAAAATAATTGGTATGGAGAGAGAAGGGGGGAAAGGAGTGCTTACATTGATGCCCTGCGGACTGTACATCTGGTTGGCTGTGAGTCCTTCACTGTATCCGCCTGTCTGACTGATAACATGGCGAAGGGTATCCACCTGAAACATTCCCAAAGAGCAGACAAAGCAAGGTCAGTGTCAACAGGAGAAAAACACAAGACAACAGAGAGGGGGGGGGGGGGTCTTCAGAGACAACAGAGTCCGATCAAACAGAGCAGCAGCTTAAAGGCAGAGGTGTTTGCTTTGGGCTGCAGAACGACAGAAACGCACAAAACTGCCTCTGATAGGTGGAGTATGGAGCGGATTTTGTTCCATTATTGTTGCAAAAAACATGCGTTGTAAAAGAACATAAAAGAAAATGTAATCCAGAAAATAAAACCAACATAAAGATAAGAAAGTTTTTCAGAGGAAATTTTCTGTTTTTTTCATAATTTTTCATCGCTTTTTTTTTTCTTCCAGTTTTTGAATTTTCAGGTTTATATTTCATTTTTTTTTCATACTAGGAATTTCATCCTTCTCTTGAGTCTTGACCCGTAAAATGTCGCTAACATCTAGAACACCAATGGAAATGCTTCTTTGCTCCTCCCTCCCAAGGAAAGCCCGCCCCCACAACTTAAGAAAATATAATCTGGAAAAAATTCAATTTGAAAAGACCAATATTTCTAAACCTCAATCTCAAAAAAAGGGACAAATTAAACACACACACACACACACACACACACACAAAAAATCAAATATAAAAAAACAAACAAAAAAAACGGATAAAGAAGCAAAGTTCTTGATTGCGTTTTTCAATGTTTCATTTTCTGAATTACATTTTTTTTTTCAAATTTCCATTTATAAAACCTTTATTTTCATTTCCATTTGATTTTTTTTTGACAGAGATGTTTTGTTAAAAGGTTTTATAAATCTAACTAAAAAGCTTATGATTATATTCAACTCCTTCAAAGGTCGGTTTATGCTCTGGAGTGTCGCTTACGCAGCATTAGCAGCATTTTCCTCACTTCCCGCAATATTCTGGTAGACTCTAGGGGGCAGTGTAGAGCACAGGCTGCAAGCTTTTAAAGGAATAGTACACCCAAAACATGATTAGCCTTCATTTTCTACTCACCTCCATGCTGAACAACACTCTGGAGTACTTTTTTGATATCTCAAATGCATCTGGAGATCTGGGAGGCTTCTTGCTGTCTGCTGACATTCAAATAATGGAGGTCCATGGCGCCCGAGACAGAAAGGTCCATAAAAGTCCACAAAAACGTGTCAATATTCCTCCATACTGCTCGTCCAATGTAATCCAAGTGTCCTGAGTGGGTAGCATCCAGAATTTACTCGAAACGAAGTCATTTAGAATGTTTTTAGAGCATAAACAGTAGTGTATAGGATTTCCTAATAGCGCCCCCATGCGCGCTCACGATTCTACGGAAGCCGGCAGACCAAACCGGAAGAAAGTGCGCATTCAGCGTCTGGTCTGCCGATAATGCAAGCGTAGAAGAAGAAATGTGCTGTTTACCTGTGCAAAGAAAGAAACAACGAAAGAAAAATGTCTGAGGACTTCAGTGTTGAGGAAGAGCATGAGTTCTTTGCCGAGCTGAATGCGCTGGTTTGGTCTGCCGGCTTCCGTAGAATCGTGAGCGCGCATGGGGGCGCTATTAGGAAATCCTATACACTACTGTTTATGCTCTAAAAACATTCTAAATGACTTCGTTTCGAGTAAATTCTGGATGCTACCCACTCAGGACACTTGGATTACATTGGACGAGCAGTATGGAGGAATATTGACACGTTTTTGTGGACTTTTATGGACCTTTCTGTCTCGGGCGCCATGGACCTCCATTATTTGAATGTCAGCAGACAGCAAGAAGCCTCCCAGATCTCCAGATGCATTTGAGATATCAAAAAAGTACTCCAGAGTGTTGTTCAGCATGGAGGTGAGTAGAAAATGAAGGCTAATCATGTTTTGGGTGTACTATTCCTTTAACATCATAATGTAGGTGTGTCCAAATTAATGAGCAGCAAACTGCAAAGGAACCCCCACCTTTTATATTTCAATATCCATTATCCTGATATAAATAAATATAGATTATTGAAGACAAACTCAAGCTACAGATTTAATTTGATATTTATTTTTTATGGCCGGTCTTTACAGAAATAAAACTGGTAGCACACACAAGAAGCAAAGGTGAAACCAACGAGGAAATTATTTAGGTGAAGTTGAGGGATTTTTATTTTTATTATTAATGGGATAAATGTCAAAAATTAAAAGAGGGCATATCTTTAGCATTCTGTTTTTTATGGCTTTTTCTTATTTTTGCTCATTTATTCCATGAGGAATTGCATAAGCTATACCATGGCTACATTAATGTGAAGATGAGCTAATTATTCAGCTAATATACCTCCAGTACAGTTAAAGGAAACTTAGCAGGAGATGCAATGCGGTGAGCCAGGAATCATGCGCCTTCTCTAGGAAAGGGGGGAGAACCTCTTCTTTGAATTAGTAGTAGATAATAGTAAAGTAGATAGCACATTTTAACAAATCTATATTTTCACCTTAAAACATATTTATTTCATTTTAGGTCTGAGAACGCTTATTATTGAAATTTTATTAATAATTTTTGTCACCACTGCATGGAATTGCCGCTTGAGCTCGACCAATCTGCATCAACCCGCTCTGAATTATGGGAAATGATAATTAAATGAACAATTTAATTAATGAACCTGACATTAGATAATTAAATGTACCATTAAATAATTAAAGTTAGCTATTAAATTATGAAATTAAATAATTAAGTCCTTTTTTTAAAAATAATACTTTTTATGACTTTATGTTGTCTGTGAAGCAGACTCATCATAAAATCATTTAAACTTCAAACTTCAAACTCTGTGGGCGGGACTAGAACTGCTTCCATAGAAATCCTGTTTTCTGATTGGCTGCTTCTCACTGATGAATATAAGACACCTTCTTCTTGTTTTGTTGTTACTCTAAAGTCAATATCATGGCTAAAATAATCAGAAATAACTTAGGAAATGTGTTGCAGTTTATTTATAGTCCATTAGGTGAACATCTGTTACCTCTATATCCTGGTCACTGTGGTGTAGTTTGGTAGTTTGGGGGGGGCTGCTTTAACTCAGCAGGATCATATTTAATTTAATTTTATTCATTTTTTTATATAATGGCACATTTCATTATACATTAACACCTTATTGAAGCATAAACCAACCTTTACTCTGATAAGTCTGAAAACATCTTTACAAAAAAACTAACATGCCATTAATGTGAGCAGACAATAACTGTGGAGGAGCTGCAGAGATTCAGAAATCAGGAAGGAGAACATTTAGTCATCATTCCCAACAGCTGGCCTTTATAAAACAGTGGTAGGAAGAGCGCATGTATAAGACAGAGCAAACATGGAGGAAAGAGTTCACTTTAAATAAATGTAAACTTAAACCATGCATGTTGTCCACATTGTGGGACATGGTAGTGGAAGCATTGTGATATGGGAGAAATGGACAAAAGAATTTAAACCATTAATCATTTTCCTTCCCAATTACAAAACAAAAGCATTGTGGTGATTTTGTTGGCATTTTATTCTCTAAATACTGTCTGTAGTAAATTTGTTTCCCGTAACAACGTGGTATTCATCCTGTTTAGCGAGAAAATGGAAACTTTTATCAATTAAACATGGGAGCTGGCTCGGAGCTCGTCTGCCTGGCTGTGTGTTTCCTGGACGGGGCCGCCTTTTACAGCTGCTTTTTCTGTCTACTTCTGTCTCCTTGAAACCCAGTCGGCCTCAGCAGATGGTCGCTCACACTGAGCCTGGTTCTGTGGGAGGTTTCTTCCTGTTAAAAGGGAGTTTTTCCTCTCCACTGTCGCTACAAGCATGCTTAGTGTGAGGGATTGCATTCGGGTCAATGAGTCGATGCAATCAGCCGGTTTTCCTTAGACAGAAAACTTTGAATTAATTTAACTGGATGATCTGGTTGAACTGTAAAGTGCCTTGAGATGACGTGTTGTGAAATGGCGCTATATAAATAAACTGGATTAAATTTAATCCAACGCCGATATCTCATATTCAGAGGGTGTGTATGACATTTCTAAGTGTTAGAGCATCACAGCATCTTTTCTTCTTTCCAGAACCAGTCCCTACCTGCGACTGCACGTTGGCTCCCACCTGAGCCCCCTGGTACGAGTCCCCATTGAGAGACTGCACGCTCATGAACAAGTCCCCGGAGTTTGACATGTTAAAAGAGCCAGCAGAACCTGGAAGGAGAGAGGGAGCAGGGAAATCACAGAGAGCCAGCAGGGCGAGCAAGGAGGGCCGTCCAGGCGGCAGCATGCAAAGGGTTAGCGAGCCAGGCAGCTGAGCCAGCAGGGAAATACAGCAGTTCAACAGTAAACACAGCTGGTTGTTTGTTAGGAAAACTGGAATTAGCACGAGAACAAGCTCTGCTTGGCTGTTATGTCTGAAGCATCACTCAGTCAGTCACAGTTTTTTTTTATCATCTCTAACAAACTCTTCAAATGTGATACAATGTACAGTAGTGACAGGATCAGGAAGCATTTTCTCCCAATCGGACATCGTCGCTCATCTAGAACAGCCCCCTATTTATGCTAGGCTAAGCTAGGCTAACCAATTTAACTTACTTCAAAGAAATTCTCAAAAAAGCTTCAAAAGATAAGTCTGGTGTTTCTTTGGTCGTTATTACCGTTTTCTTCCTGATAAAAGAGCCAAATTTCACCATAAATGTTCATCGTAGTTATAGCGGCAGGTTAGCATTAGCATGGCTAGGTTTAACAGCAACAAGTTAACAAGTTTATCAAAATAGGAAGAAGGGGATGATAAAATGATAGTTTCCAATGGGCAGATTATCTTTTTATTTTTTATTATCTACTGTAAAAGTGGTATTTATCATATATTCACACTGCAGCTGTAGTCATAGAATATTTTAGTAATTGATCAATCTTAAAAACATTATATTTACTTTTAGTAAATTTATATTCCTTAATAAGCGGACATTTTTGCAAACGATGCATAACAAAAGATAAACAGCGTAATAATCAGGTGGCAAAATGAGCTTAGAGCCATGCTGTGTAACACTTAGCCACTCGGGGCGCTAGACCTGTAACTTCCGGGTTAAGTACAGGTGAAAGCAGCTAATAAAAATCTGCTCTGTGACAAATAAACAGTCTGATAGCCCAGCAGTTTGGACCAGAAGAATGAGAAGATACGAAGTTTCTGGTAAAAACAAAGAAACATTCATCCTTCTAGATTTAATCCCACATCAGAGAACCAGAAATATGTTAGATTATATTTATTAATATCTGATGGTCTGCTACTACACCAAGCTGGTGCTTTAAGATGTGTCATTGCAGGACATATCTGTGAAGATTCTCAATCATCCAGGTCATTTTCGAGCTTGAAAAAATTTCATCTAGCCAACTGGATGTGAAGGTTTCTAGAAGATGTTTTTCCTCCAATCCAAGAAGCTTCTTCAGTTCTAACTGGTGAGATTAATAAACTGTAGGTGTAACAAAGAACTGCATGGGATAAAAGGTGGCTCTGATCCCTCCCACTTGATTGGCCAAGGAGGTCACATGGGGGGGTGATAATGGTCGTTAGGGGGTTCCACCACATTGCAGGACAGTTAGGCTCTACTGGGTTTCTGGTAGTTCCGGGCCACTGCCAACAGATGGCGCAGTGGTTAGCACTGCTGCCTTGCAGCAACAAGGTTCCGGGTTCGACTCCCGCGCTTTCTGCATGGAGTTTGCATGTTCTCCCTGAGCATGCGTGGGTTCTCTCTGGGTACTCTGGCTTCCTCCCACAGTCTAAAAACATGACTTTTAGGTTTATTGGTTTCTCTAAATTCTCCTTAGGTGTGAGTGTGAATGGTTATTTGTCCTGTTTGTCTCTGTGTTGCCCTGCGATGGACTTGCGACCTGTCCAGGGTGGACCCTGCCTCTCACCCATAGACAGCTGGAGGTAGGCACCAGGACTTGAGATTAACCATGTCAGAAAATGGATGGATGGATACTCATAGTACCTGATACTGGAATTCTATTTAGGCTCAGAAAAAAACTAACCAAAATCTGGTCACCCTAGCAAAGATGCTTTTGCTGTGCATCAGATCTAAACTGGTACAAGGATAAAAAAATGAAGCAGCACGCACATTTTTGCTGTTCGTGCTATTTTAGGTGTGAACATAGCATAACAGTGCTTAGCTTCCAGCCATGGTGTCCGGCACGAGTATTGAGGGGTCGATCCTTTCATGTGTCAGGGTACGCGCACAGGGGGGAGGGACAAGCAGACAACCATGATTGATGTGTCAGGAACCAATAGTGTACAACGGACCATCTTTTGTGATTGGCTTGTGGTTATTTATTAATTTCTTACTGTAGCGGGATCCATTTTTTTTTATTTCACTTTCAGACCTCCTATTTCACTGCTTCCTAAGCGGCTTTGGGGAGATCTTTAAGCCACATGCTAAAAAATGCGTCAGAAAAGATCACCTACTGCACCTTTAAAGGTCTTGCTCAGGAACCCAGAATGCAGGCTGTGGGGATCAAACCGGGTACTTGCAACCTTCTCAGAGCACAAGCGCACTGATCTAACCACTAAGCCAACACTCCCCCCTAGTATCCCACAGATATATACTAGGTGGCGCTAGAGTGTCTACTCTTTTTGCTCTGGGTATAAAAACTTTCTTGAAATCTTACATTTTTCTCTTCTTACAGTGTAATGTTAGGCCCTAAGTTTTACCTCTGAGTTAAAATGCTAAATTTCCAGTACCAGAATTCTGTAAACCCTAAATCTTAGATGTAAAACCTTCACTAGCAGGCTAATTAATATCACAGACTTCCCTGTTCAACAGCTGCCACCTGGTGCCAGGGAAGTACTTAAAAACATATCTCTGTGATGAAATAAAAATAAAGTAAGTTTAATGTATCTCATGTTAATATTACACTTGCTATGTAATTTAAGGTTCTATATTCTGCTTTTTTTAACATTTCAAAGTCAACTTTAGACATGCATATAACAAAATGTTGCCTTCTGCTCTACAGAGGATTTGTTTGTTATGAAATAAGTTACGCTATTAGAATAATCTGATCGGGATGTTTACATCACAGATCTCTAGTCTGATTGGATTTTGTATTCCGATTACTTTTGTCCTATGGAAGTAAATCTGTGTCGCTGGGATTTGAATAAAAAATGCCATTGAATTTTAAATGTTGTATGTTTGTTCTTACTGTTTCAGTGTTTAAAAATATTCAGAACACATTTTTGACCTAAAAAAAATTAATTGTCATTATTTCTACAGAGTTGAAATTTCAATTATTTTCTCTTCAAGCTAAAAATTCACATTACTATTTCAAAGTGATTACATTTTCAATACTTATTTTTGAGTGTTAAAAAAAATCAGCATATAAAAAAATTCAACCTTTCAAAATTCAAACTCAATATTTTCAGCCTCCTGAGATTCAACTGGCTCTATTTCACTGTCTTAAATTCGGCGTCTAAATTCAGTGTAAAAAGGGAAGGGTTACTTCAGGTCACAGACATTAGCAATGGATTGTGGCATCCAACACCCAGCCAATCCCGCCACAGGCGTCAAGTCACGTGACTAAGAAAACGGAACAGGATCGGCTCCATTTGTGCTGCAAAAATTTTCGTTTGTGTCGCTATCATTTTTTTTACAGTTTAAAATTATATAATCATAGGTTAGCAAATTCAGTTTCAGAATGAACGTTGACTGACCTTTGATGGCTTCTACAAACAATTATTAATGATAGCAGTACAAAAAATATATATATTTTAAAATATGCATTTTTAAAATTTATATATATATATTTTAAATATTTTATATTTCAAATTAATTTAAAAATTTTACATGGCAAAAATGTTCATTTGTACTGCTATCATTTTAATCATATTAATATTCTGTAGAGGTCATCAAAGGTCAGTTAACATCTGTTTTAGCTGCACAAACGTTTGACACTAATTTTGTCTGATTTGAAGAAGGTGGGGGAGCCAACTTCACTCAGGTGATTCATTCTTTGCTATTGCATAGAAAAGCATTAGCATCCACATGTCAAATTTTGGCAAAACATGTCCTGAAAAAAGGACAGGTGGCTTTTAATGAGTAATTTCTAAAACTTTCAAGGCCTTGAACTTATTTTTTCAAACTCGAAAAACTTTTAAGCACCTATGGGAATCCTGTTTAAATAATGGGAGTGAGTTTAAGGTTGAATTTTCTGGTATGTGGTGAAGCCTTTTGAAAGCAGGTTGCCATGTTTCTGCCTTTGCTTTGAAATAAAGTTTGGACTTTCAAAGTGATTTTTATCACCAGACTTATCCTTTGAATGCCATTAGGGAATCATGACACAGAGCGTTGAAAAGGCAAACATCGGGTTAATGAGGCTGAGAAGGAAGGACAGTAAAGATATGGAGACTTAGCATGAGGGCTCAGGTTGCTTTAACCCCACCAGCTCTTTTCTACATTGCTGAAAGCAACATCAGGGCCATCGTAGGAGCTAATGACGCTCGCTTCGGGATAAACATGGACCCTATTAACAGCGCATTAATATGGGATGGGCAACATATGTGTGGAATAGTGGCCTGTTTTTGTCCTTTACAGCATCAGCACTGAAAAAGCCTTAAATGCGTTACACTGATGGACAGAGAGGAAGTGTACGTCTAACCCCAGCCGAGCCAGGGACTTCCTGTCTCACCTGCAGAGTTTGGAGTGGAGGGTGAATTTGCTTGGCTTCCATGTGAGGATGCATTAGCCGCATTCACGGCAGTTCTGGCGGCATACATGTTGGCTTCTTCTTGGAACTTACCAATGTTTTTCTTGTATCTGATTCTTTTATTCCCAAACCAGTTGGAAACCTGAGCAGGAAAAAAAAAACAATAAAACAAAAAAAAAAGTTTAAGCATACAGAGCTTCTTTAAAGAAATACAGCTAACGTTTTAGCTTGAATGGCCTTTAATGGCATGTGAAACACTGCAGAGAGCCTCTGTCAGACTGGTGCTGTGAATCTGCATTGGTGCCAGAATGGAATGATTGCCAATAACGGTCTCATTATGTCACCATGACTGCAGCTATCATCAGAACTCACGCAAGCACCAATCAGTCAACTTCCGCTAACACCCATTACAGCTAATGGACTCCCAGATGAAGCCAGGGGGGTAATCCCAGCCCTAATGATAAACAACATTAAAATGAAAACCAAATCAATCCTGCAAAGTTTCTAATAGACAGAGAAGGTAAACATTCTCCTTTGTTATAGCCAAGAAACTGAAACTCCACAAATCACCGAGCTGCTGAGCAGCTTCCACCGTGGAGCCACAGCTGCATCCTCAGATCATTTGGTAGAAATTAATGAAGGCGACTGAGAAAACGATCCATTCCCAAATGATGGATCCGCTGTTTACCTTGGCGGCGTCATTGTTTTCCCTTATTATCAATTCTCACAGGATTGAAACAAGTGGAGTTTCTGAAGAGCAGAGATGAAACAAAACAAAAACACTTTATATTCTGGGATAACAGAAACTTTGGTACAGTAAGAATCCTAACAGGCGGACATGTTCCTCTAAGAGCTGCAGACATCATCTCCTCTCTGAAACATTCAGCATTTTAACCGTTAACGGTTAGAATTAGATCTGCAACTAGCGTTTCCAGCTAATTTCATGAGAGTCTGAATGTTAGTTAATGCTTAAGTGATTACAAAATTAGTTGATGATTATTTCAATAACTGAAATCTTCAATGAATCCAATTATTATTTTTTTAAGCTCTAGTTAAGAATAAACAGTTTCAATTTCAAGGATCCAAAAATTCAAGGACCTTGTGTGGCAGAATTTACCTCCTGCTTCCAGTTCAAGTATCATCTGAAGCTACATTTATTTTTTATTTTTGTTTTCCCAGCTTTTATTGTCATTATACTGTTACAGGTACAGAGCAATGAAGTGAACCCATCCCCAGTGGGCTGCCATTGTGCGGCACCAAGGGAGCAGTGTGGGATTAAGGGTTTTTGTTCAGGTCAGAACCTCTGGATTCCTAGGTCGCCACTCGCCTATTTCCACGGAAAATAGTGATCAGAATAAACGGCGATTCGGACGTTTCATTCCAATCCTGACATATCTGAGCAGAACTTTCCAATCGACATGATTACATCACACTTTTTTAGTCCAGTCAGCTGTTTTATTACGATAACTTCTGTCAATAGAAATGGTGCAGTCTAATTATGTTTTGTTTTTTAATTCCAAATACATTTCAATAGAATGCATGCATAGCTAATAAATTATTTTAGCTCAATGCAAATTCAATTGAGTTGAGAGTAACTGGGCTGCTTTCTCTGGTTATTTTTCTTTGGTAATTTATATTCTTAAATGTTATTTTTTTACTTCTCTTTTTCAGATTAAGTTTTATGAATCGCATTCTTTTAGAATTGCTTTTCACAAAACACTTTCTCTACACCTTAAGCCCAATACAAAATCGCTCTTGACCAATAAAATGTAGTCTTGTTTTTTTCAGGCTGCCGCTTTTTAACCAAAGAAATTTAGAAATTAAAAAATTTGAAATTTGAAAACACCAAATCCTCTCATATGATTGGCTCAGGAACCAGGAAGTAAACACGGGCTATATACTGAACCCAAGTAGTTTCCCATTGTACCTTGAAAACCATGGGAACAAACTGTTAATGTTGCTAAAGCTAGACCCAATTTTATACTCTTGTGCGGACCCTCACTTAAATAAAAAAAGTGGTATGAAAAGGGTTTCAAATGACCTGCATTTGAATTTTCTTTGTCCATAAAATGACTAAACATGAATTTAAAGACACTTTTAGAAGGATCGAATAAGTAAAATAAAAGGAAATGACATGTTTTGTTGACCTACTAAAAGTATCTCCTTTTAGATTAATCAAAAGGATAGAAACTGAACTTTATTGATCTCACAATGGAGAAATTAACTCTGCATTTAACCCGTTCCATTGGGGAGCAGTGGGCTGCCATTGTGTGGCGCCTGGGGAGCAGTGTGGGGTTAAGGGTCTTTGCTAAGGAACCCAGAGTGTAGGTTGTGGGGAGCGCACTGCTCTAACCACTAGGCCAACACTCCCCTAAAAAAAACCCAACTAATTAAAAACTATTTAATTACTAAACTAATGTTAGTCTCTTACAAAGTGTAAACTGGTCTCTGAATGTTTCAGGTTAGATTAAGACTTTTTTTTTCTTTCAGCAGATTCTCCCACGGAGCCATAGACCCTCGTTTTGAACGTTCCACAGGTTTCTCTCTGACCCGTCTGCAGTGTCCCTCAGTCTTCATGAGGTTCTTCTTCCACTAAGTTTTCTGAGGCCTTCATAGAACAGTTGGGTTTATTCTACGGACTAGCAGCAGAAACAACGACTTCAGAGCCTTGAATACAACTGATTTCACTTTCACTGCAAAAACAATCTAGAAATAAGTAAAAATTCCTTAAATCAAGTGTGTTTTACCTTCATTTTAGTAGGTAAATGGGATGATTTGCTAATGGAATGAGTATTTTTACTCTTAAAATAAGATAATTAGATAATATGCACTTGTAATAAGACAATGCAGTTGCTTTTTCTTATTTTAAATGTAAATTGTCTTGTTCCATTGGCAAAGTGTCTCACTTACCTCCTCAATTCAAGAACAAATGCACTTAGTTTAGGAGAAAATTACTTATTTAGATTAAAATTTTTTGCAGGGAAGATATCTATTTACATTTTGGATTGTTGTTTGTGCGCTAATAAAAGTGTAGAATAAGAGTATAAGGGCTGTCTGAATCCGTAAAAGCCTAGGTCACCCGTCCAGACGCTGACAGCCTCCTCATGTCTCGCAGTGCTCTGTACAGAGACGTTCCCGCGGGGGGCTCTGATCTGCTCGTACCTGGGCCACTGTGATGGCACACTTCTTGGCCAGCTCCTCTTTGGCCTCCTCGCTGGGGTACGGGTTACTGAGGTGAGAGTAGAAATACTCGTTCAGGATCTCTGTCGCCTGCTTGTTGAAGTTTCGTCTTTTCCGCCTACAAAAAGAGGAGCAGCATAGTCAGTCACGGCACTTCATCTTATGGAAGGAATTTTGTTCCATTATTTTTGCAAGCAAAAACATGTTTGTTAAAGTGAAATTTATGGAAAAGGGAAACCTTTTTTTTCCAATAATTTTTTATAATTTATTTTCCAACTTTTAGGTGATTACAGTTTATGTTCTCAAATTTTATTCTTAAAATCTAAGTTTTTTTAGATTGCGTTTGAATGTCATTCTTTTCAAATTGTGTTTTCCAGATCAGACGCATTTCTGTCTGATCTGCTGGATGTTAGGAACAACATTTATATTGTTAAATCTCTAGCGTTTGGGTTAGGCTCCAAGCAAAGGGAATGTGAAAGAAAATGCAATGTGTAAAAGTCAACTTGAAAAAAAACAAAACTTTCAAGATATTGAAAATAAAATATCAGTGAAAGAAATTGAAAAAAATACATTACAATTGAAAACAAAGCAAATAAAAAATAAAATCTGAGGAAAAACACAAAGTTACTCTCAAAAGAAAAAGAAAAAAATGGATTATATTTTCCTAAAATTTCCATTTACAAAAATAATGGAGCAAAGTTCACTCCATATATCTCCTCCTCCTGTTAAACTATCTATGAACAGACTGTTATTCTGAAATTCTAAAAAAAAAAAGCTGCAATATGAATGCCAGGCCAGTAGGTGCTGATAGTGTCTACATCACTGACATCTATAGAACTAGATCCTGTTCACAGCACATTATCTTAAGACACCCATCTGAAAAGACTCAATCTAGACACGCTCCAGCTGATCCAAAAGCTAAAGCAATGCAGTGATGAACAAAGGTGATCCTTAAGACATAAAGTTCATGTGTGCTTGTTGTCTGGTGTTGGCCATCTGATGAGATAGTTTTAGGTCATTTTAAATGGATATGTTTAGGAGCTGAAGTCCTCCGCTCAGTTTAGTGACAGCTTTCCTCTTTTAACAAAGATGGCTTCCTTCACCCCTCTATCAAACTATCTGTCCTCTTTATTCAACATCTGGACGTTTTATTTGATGACCATGATGGAGAAATCAATAGAGACCCGTTACTGCCAGCCACTTAAAACACGTAAAAGCAATTATAGTCCTGAAATTCAACCATTCAACCATAGGGGCTTTATACAGGAACATTTATTTTTTTAAAGACTAAGTTTCAAGCTTCTAGCCTCGTGAGACCATCCTGATCTCTAAAGAACATGGCGGCTTCAGCCGATGAAACTAGCGTTAGCGTGGCTATCGAGCAAGTTTTATCTGAATTACAGAGTATTTCTTCACTGAAAGAAGAGCAAAACACTGCTCTGGAGGCTTTTCTCAGAGAAAAAGAGGTTTTTGCTCTTCTCCCGACTGGTTTTGGCAAGAGTTTGATCTATCAATTGGCTCCTCTTCGTCGTCGCTCTGTTACGTCATATGCTTCGTTGATCTGATTGGTTTATTTGGCCCGTCTATCACCAACATAGGCCAATCAGCTAACCAGTATTTTCGCCCCTTCCAAAAATTACTTCGACGGAAGTTTTCCAGATGGATATGCGGAGCAAATCCATCTGGCGGAGTCAGGTCATCAAGCTTCAGCTTTTAGAGTGAAAATGTTTAGCACTCAGCTTTAGATCTACATATTATCAGGCTAATGGAGGGAATTTCACTCCATTTTTTTTTTTAGCAAAAACACATTTTGTAAATGAAGAAAAGAACAGAAATAAACTTTGAAACCAGTCTCGATCAAAAAAATGTTTTAATTATTTTGAAATTTCAAATTTTCCTTTCTTTCACATTTTATATTTTCACGTTTCTCTTTTTCAGATCAAATTTTACGAGTTTTTTTTATGGCATCTTACATATATTCTATTCACCAACATATTTGTCTGCCAACACACTTCGCAGCAGTGAGGAGCCTTGGAGTCGGCTGACCCCTCCATCTTCTCCACCTATCAGGTCATGTCAGCTGAGCGGAGCTTTACATAAGCTGGAGAGAAGCTGTAAAATCTCCTCGCATGTATCGACTGGTTGAGGAGATTTGTGCTAAAACCTCTGCCCCCCCCTTCCCTGCCAGCTCCAACGAGCTCACTAGAAAATATGTAAATGTTCACAGCAGGAGCTCCAGCAGCCAGTAGATTAATCAGAGGAGCAGAGCATCAAGCGGGGAGGGGAGGCTTCGCTCTTCCCATCCCTCGCTGCTTCGCCGCCGTGTTCATTTGCAGGAGAATATAGAGTGAGGCTTTATACGGGAGCGCACGCCTCATTTAAATGTTATGCCTCCAACCTAGGCTTTGAGAGGGATTTATCCTCAGAGAAATGTATGCAAATCCAAAAGCACGCATCAAAGAGAACAAGCGATTAAATTAAAAAAAGGGGAACTGTTAGCGGGAGCTGTTATTGGCTGGGTGTTCCTCCTGTACATGTGAGCACACGGTGAGACGGGGATACGCACCTGGCGTCCAGGAAGCGGGAGCGCAGGATCATGACGGCCTCGCAGGTGCTCTGTTTCAGCTGCATCTGGATGGAGCTGAACTTGCGGTGGATGATGCTCACCATGCGCTCGATCTCTTTGGGCGAAATGGGCCGCGTGCGCGACTGCTCCCGCAACAGGTTCATCACGTGGGTGGTGAACTCGTTACAGGCCTGTGGAGGGGAAACACAGAGACACATGGTTCTGTCAGATTCCAGCTCTGCTTCCATGTAGGACAGGGTGGAGCTTCCTCTGAAAAGACGCTGATATGTTTCATATTTAACAGAAAATTCTGATTGAAGTACGTTAAGAGAAAGCAGTGACAGCCGCTCACTTTCAGACGCACAGCTAACCCTGGGAGACGAAGATGACGGGCGTGAACGCGCTGCGGCATTAGACTCTCTCTGCTACTGTCTCCTCCTCTTTATTTCTCCTGCTTTAGTCGATCCCTCCCTGGATTTCGCCGTGTCAGGCGTTGTCTACCTCTGTCTATCTGCCTGCTCATCACATTCATCTGAAAGCGAAGCTATTGTTGCAAATGCATCAGAGACAAAGGGGATAAGAGGAAATAACCCCCCCGATCCCTGTAGGGCTGTAGGGGGAACCCACACGGCCACAGAACGCAGTGCATATGATGGAGGAATCTGGGATAAGGACCATCAAAAGGAGTTCCTGCAGTCGCCTGATGATCTGAACGAGTACGAGAGGAAAGTAACGCAGGAGAAACATGTTTTATATCAGCACTGATCTGATTTAGATTCTACCTGATGTCCAGAATATGACCGAGGGGCTCAGAACCCCAAAATCCCCCCATTATATGACAGAGGAGATCATTATTTGGCACCGACTGGGTTACTGAGAAAATGGCCTAATGGTACAGATAGGTTTTTTAAAGCTGGTTATTTGGACATCAGTTTAACTGATCCCTAATCTTCCTTCATTTATATGATAAAAATAATAATATATGTAATATAAGTCTCAAAAAACATAAGTTATAGATACCAAAGAGCATGCATGTGCTTCACATGACCTCCACGCATGGCTGTATAGAGAAAAACTAGTTCCATTATCGTTTCACATAAAAAAACGTTTGAAAATTGAAAATAAAAAATGCAATCCATAAATTAAACCTAAAATTTTTTTTTTTCTAGTTTTATGTTTAAAAAAAATCTTTATAGATATTTATTTTAGATATACATATCTTACATTTCTGTATTTTAATAAAGTAAGAAATGCAAACTTTTCCAATTGCAATTTACAGATCAGATTCTCTTCACTTCAAACCAAATGAACGCTTCCTCTTGATCAATAAAAAGGATGTTGCTAACGTCGAGCCGACCAAAAGAAATGCATCTTGGAAATCCATAAAACCCAGTTTGAAAAGTATGGAAATCATAAAACTTAATCTGAAAAACAATTTTACATTTGAAAATGTAAAATATGTGAAAAAAATCTTTAAAAAAAAGAAAGAAAAAAAAAACGAATCTGAGAAAAAAGCAACTTTTCTCTCATAACATTTGATTAAAATGCTTTTTAAAGATTAATTCCTGGATTGCATGGTTTTTTTTTTATTTCCATTTACAAAACGTGTTCATTGTTTGCAACAATAACGAAACAAAATTCACTCCATACTCTGCAGCTACTGAGTGCTCTAATGAATTGTTTAACGTATGCACGGATCAAACAGGAAAAAATAAACAAAACAAGAAACTAATATTGGCCAAAAATATCATCCAACTGACGTATCGGTCGTCTTTAACAAGAAAGCTGAGAACAATTAACTGTTTATATAAGTAAATCCTTAAGTCAATGCGAACCAGCTTTAACTAATTCATTAGTGCATTCGACAGTAACGCCTTGAGAAGTGTTCCCTCCATCTGCTATCCACTGTTAATGTTTTTATTTGTTAATAAAGGTTTCTCTCTTGTTAAATTTTGACTTGCATAACATTCATTGTAGTTATTTAATTTTTTATCATGTAAATGGACGGAAAAAAAGCAATTTGAGCTTCAAAACTCAGCCCCAAGAAAAAAAAAAAAAACAGTACCAGCCTTAAAAATACGGAGCCCCTAAAGGGACATGGAGGGAAAAAAAAAGAACTTTTGCGAGATCTCGCAATACTTTAGCGAGATCCCGCAGTAGTTTTGCGAGATCCCGCAATAGTTTTGCGAGATCTCGCAAAAGTTAATTTTTTCCCTCCATGTCCCTTTAGGAGCTCCGTAGGATTGCCATACTGACCTTGTCTCTCCTCATTCGTGTAATTTCGTGTTTTGGGACTTCTCTATAAATTAAGAACCATTCGAAATCATCCTCCATGGTTGTAGCTGACACATGGGCGTATTTTCCTCCCATAGCAGTACACTTTGCACCTCCACTGTTGTGTGTTTGTTTTACAAAACACACAACAGTGTGTTAGATCTAGCAAAAGTATTGCGGGATCTCGCAAAAGCTTATTTTTTGCGAGATCTCGCAAAAGTATTGTGGGATATCGCAAAATTAATTTTTTCCTCCATGTCACTTTAGGGACTCCATATAAAACCGTGCACCGGTTGATTCTAATCAGCAGTAGGGACATCATCCAGGGTAGAAAGGAAGTGAATCTAGACAACCATCAGGTTTATTCATTGATTAGCGCGTTGGTGCATAATTTGGGAAAATTCTCCCCTCATAGAGATAATTTTTACTACAATGTACAGTATCTGTAAAAACCCAATTGTCTCATGTCCTACTGCCGATTCCCATTTGAATTAAAGTCTGGACTTTGACTAGGCCATCCTAACTGTAGTTTTGGGCACCTCTGGCCCAGTAGAATCCAGGATTCCCCTGATTCAGCCTCCTCCATCCCAGCATCAGCACTGGACAGCTTCCATAGCTGAACATTCTGCATGTTTGATTTTGGTCTCATTTCATGGAATACCTTCTTCCACCTCTCGCCTGAATTCTCACACTTTTTCCAGAATGTTAATATTTATAGAGTGCAGAGTTCCTCGCTGTCGGGCGGACGGATTCTCTCACCGGAGCCGTAGATCTCTGCGGCTGCTCCACAGTTCCCACGGGCCTCTTCTTTTGCTTCTATGTAAAACTCTTCCCTTGCCTGATCTGTCAGTTTAAGTGGAGCGCTATTCCTCTGTAACTTCCCCCTGGAGCTTTCTCCTTCCTTCCTATGTACCATGAATTCCATCTCTGACGTTAGTCACATTTTCCACCTATGATCAAGCATTACGTTCATTTATTCCATGTTCCGTTTAACTTTGATCACGTGAAACTCGCATCTTCCTCACATGGGAAACAAATACTAAGATTTTTTCACATGTGAATATAATTAGCTTCATTGATCATTCTAATCAGAAATTATCTATAAAAGCTGTGTTCCTTATGTTAAAATATTAGAAGTTTTTTTTCTGATCCTGAAAAGTTTCAAATACTAATAATTAAACTGATCTACTTTTATCAAATATATTGATTTTATAGATCTTCATTTATAGCTGCTAGTTCATGTTAGTCGGTAGTCATGTTCTACAAAATAAAAAGAGAAAATTATCTTAAGAATCTAAATAACATGTGAATCACGGGACTTAAAATTGACCAGATTCATTATAAATCACATGTTAAAGTCCAAGCATTTGCGTGAACTTAAAACCTTTAAAAACGTTCATGTTTTCACATGGGACTCCAATTCTGAGCATGTGAAATACATCTGGGGTACATGTGTTTCATCCAAAATCATTGGATTTACATGTGAAACCATGTATCTCGTGTGATTCATTTGTTTTCACATGTGATAAAGGCTTTCCATGATTCCCTTTTAAAGCACATGGTTCACATTTTAGAAACGTATGTCACATGTGAATCATACGCGAAAACGTTCAGTTGTGACATGTTTTTATATGATTTTCATTAAAACCTTTAAGTCAAAAATGAGGCACATGTGTAGGACATGCAAAAAGGTTAATCACATGTGAAAACACGAGATTTACATGTTTTTGCATGTGAATCATTTATTCACATATGATACACGCTTTTACAAGTGATTCCCATTTAAAAGCATGTGATTCACATGTGTCTAACATGTGAACCACGTGCTAAAAACAGGGAATCATGTGAAAGCATTTATCACATGTGAAATAAAATGAATTACATGTTTTCACATGTAATTCCAATGTTTTTGGATGAAACACATGTACCTCATATGTGAATCACATGCTCTGAATTGGAGTCACATGTGTAAACATGAAAAGTTTTAAATCCACGCGAAAGCTTGGATTTTAACCTCTTAAAGCGACCTGATGGACCTAAAGTGGGGGTAATATACGGTGGCCCTGAAGTGCAAACTGCAACTACAAATCTAAAAGCGCAACTACATAAAGCCAAGCGCAACAACATTAAGAAAAACAAAACTACATAAAGCAAAGCGCAACCAAATCCCACAGGTCTGAAATGTTCTGCATTTGTGGTTGACATGACGTAGAACAAATATAATACAATAAAACCTGCCGTTTCATAAGAATGTCTTTATTACTAAAATAAAAAGAAAGACCTATCATTTCCGAGAATAAAAAAACAACTTTGAGTCATGTTTGAACTGATGCAGGTTGGTCTGTGTTCTAGTCACCCAGTTTTAATTTATATAATAGGAAACTAAAGGGAGTTAGCTTTCAGATAATGTATTGCACATGTAATTTGAGCTTACAGTTCCTAAGTTATTTGCTTACCCAAAATGAGATGGATGTTAAGAGGTTAACATGCAATTTATAATTTAAATGGGCAATTTTAGGTCCCGTGATTCACATATTATTTAGTTTCATAAGATAATGTGATAAATGCTTTTAAGTGCTTTTAAATTGGTATCATGTGTAAAAGTGTGTATCATATGTGAATAAATGAGTCGAATGCAAAAAAGTGAATCACATTTTTGCATGTTCCACACATGTGCCTCAATTTTTGGATCACATGTTTAGAGTTTTGTGATTCACCACATGTGAAAACATGTGATTCACATGTGAAAAACATGTTAATAAAAGAAAAGAATTAATTCATATGTGCTTTTAGAATGAAATGTTCCAAATCCACACATTTACAATTACTTGTGTCCGACATGTTAATGTCACATGGGTTTTTCTCATGTGATTTTCATATGTGAAATTAATGGGATATTATATGATTCTCTTTATTCTCAGATGATAGAACAGTTGTTTTTATACTAATCAATGAATTTCAGAAATAATAGTGTATTTGGGGCTCTGAAGGGGGCCACTCATTTGAATTATAATATTTTTCCCCTATAACTCTCCACCCACCTAACTATGGTGCACCTGTTCTGTTGGTCTATCAAATAAAGGGTCAATAAGAAACGGAGGATTTAGGAGGAAAAAGGATATAAATCCTTCAGTTAGATGGAGAACTCCAGCGTTGCTTCTAGGAAAACTCACTTTCACTTTAAGTTTGTCTGAATTATTAAGTTAATCCTGTGTTTTCCTCTTTTAACGGCTCCAATGTTATAAAGATCCAAATAAAAAGTAACCTTGAATTTTTTTTCTGAGGATCCAAATAATAATGATTTTATTTTTATCTTTGGAGTCTTCTGGTTTCCTGTTTTAGTTTTTCTTTTCTAACAGCAGACAGAGGCAGACGAAGCTCTGCTGCCATAAACCGTTCAGATGATAAATCGGTCTAAAGTAGTAAAACTCTGGGATCAGAACCAGGAGGGCTCACCTGCTCATACTTCTCCAGCTCTGTGTGGTAGATCTGTCGGATCTGGGACAGCTTGGCCCTGTAGTCCGAGTGCTCCGCTGAGTTGTCGGCCCCCACCCCTCCTGAGGCGGCCGCTGCAGCCGCTGCCGCTGCCGAGCCCCCGCCTTTCTCCGGGCCGGACACGCCCTCCGCCAGCAGCATGTTGTCCAGGCGCATGAGCTGTGGGTCTGGAGGCTCCTCCTCCTGGGCGCCGCGGATGCTGAGCACTGTGGAGAAGAAAGCAGGTCAGAGGTCAGATCTGAAAGGTCACACCTGCGCCGTTAACACGCTGTCAGCAGAACAGGCACAGCAGCATCCGTTTAACATCCAGGGAGGCAGAAAAAGACTCCAGAAAGCATTCAACTAGACTCTAATCTAACCTAAGAAATTCCACCTATGTCTCCTTCTCAGTGGCGTCATCTCCGCTGCTACAAAACACAACAGTTTATCTCTTTCTGTGCAAATAAAGATATGTGGAACGTTTCATACGAACCAACAGGTTCTGACGTGGTTTAGCAGGGTGTGTGTGTGGGTAGAACCACCCTCCACTAGAGGTCTCCCTTGTCATTTAGGACATTTAAAGCCCACCTTCCATTTTCTGAGGTGAAAACATTCCTCCAGCTCAGACTCCTCTCCCTCCACCTTAAAGCCGTCCATTTCAACAACCAGTTAAGGATCCAAACTATTCAGAACCGTACATCACGGATGCCGTCCTTAATTCAGAGATGATGGGGGCGTTCGGTGCGTTAACCCCAGACGAGGGGAGGGTCACTGTGATGAGAACGAGGCCTGCTGTACGAGCAGCCGATGGAAGGGGTCAAAGGTTCAGGCTGCGGACTCAGCGGGCGGTAGATTGAGTGAAGGAGGAGGCGGTTTGTACCCAGAGTGCGTCAGTAATCTATAGACGGGCTCACAGGGGAGGATTCAGGCAGCTCTACCTCCACGTTATGACCCGATCCAGCCCGCTCCGTCAGAAACTCTAAACCCTCCTGTCTGCTTCGGTTAACATCCATCATGGTGGCCCCCGCCGCTCCCTTCTCCTCCTGACTGCTCACCAGCTCAGAAGCCCTCAGCTACAGCCTCATAAATACCCCAACGAAGTAGGTGTTAAGCATCCAGTGCAGGGAAACCAGCAGGAGGTTCTTCCAGCAGGGAAACCAGCAGTAGTCCTGTGAATGTTCTAGAATGTGAAAGAAAAGAGTCCAGGCAGCCTGGAAGCATCAGAGATCACCTGGAGGCAGATTTCTGGGGTTCTTTAGCATCTGATCACCAAATCCAGAGATTTTCACCTGAAATGTGCTGCAGGTTTTCTGACAGAGAAAGTGAAGGACTGGAATGATAATCTTGCTAATCCTTCCAATTAGGGATGCACGATATAATCGGCCCCCTATCGGTATCGGCCTTAAAACTGAATATCGGACATCGGCCACCCCACCGATATTTAACCCGATATTTGATCAGCTTCTGAGTTTCTAAAGTCTAAAAAAAATAATAATAAAATACTACTTCTTCTTCTTCCTCAAAAACTTCTTTTTTACAGACTTAAAAACTTCTAAAGACGAGGGAAAAAATATTGATACATTAAAATATCCCAATATCTTCATATGCTGATATATTTCCATTTAAAAACACCATATCAATCTCTTTTACTGATGAAATATTGCTGTATGTCATCGTTATGCTACGAAATCCCCCGAAAATTCACGAAATTTTGCCATACTTTTATATGTTGATATATTGACGCGGTATCGATCTATTTTACTAACAAAATCTCACAAGAATTTGCAAAATATCACGAGAGTTTGTAACAGAACGATGAAATTTCATGAGATTTTGAAAGTAAAATAGATCGATACCGCGTTTTTAAAAATCAATTTGATATCAGCATATGAAAATATATTTGAGTATATTATTTTTCAAAGTGTCAGAAATGGATAACAAAACTGCTATTTTCAATGACTACTTATTTTTGTCCAGCTTTAACATCAGTATCGATATCGGTTATCGGCTACATGAGTTTTAAAATATCAGCATATCGGATATCGACCCAAATCCCAATATCGTGCATCCCTACTTCCAATGGTGCTCATCATGAGGAGAAAATATCTAGAGAGAAAAGGTTGATTTGATCAAATGAAGGTGCTTTAAAATCAATCTGTACTTTTGTTATTTTGCTTTTAGAATGTAAATATGGCACTGCCATATGTACCATTAATGCTGGGAGTCCAAACCTCAGTGTCATTACATTTGTTTGAAATATCTTAATTTATACTTTAATTTCAACCTTTTGTACAGCTAAATATTCCCTGACTGACTGTAGAAATGCTCTCTATTGTGTTCTTTGTTTACTTAATCATCTATATTTTTTCAAAGAAACCTACAAAAAAAAAGGTCACAATGGAAGATTTTAACCTTTCTTATTATTCTTTGTATAATATACAGAGACTGAGAGGAAAATAGGAAAACCTTAATGTCATCGAATTTGTTGTTTTAAACTAATTTATGTTTCAGCTTATGCCACACTAGTGTTTGCCATGGTAACCATCGCCCTAGAAGCTGGTGAAGATTCCCAGTCATCCAGGTCATAGTCATTCCAAAAGAGTAAAAAACTATCCACTTTGTTTCCAAGTTTGAAGATGTTTTGCTTCCCATCCAGGAAGCTTTTTCAATTCAAATGTCAGAAATAGCTTTGAGTTTGAGGCTTTATAGAGTGAACCAAAACCAAGTCTTGTTTGGCTTAGAAAACATGCAAATGGAACCATACGAATGGGTCTGCCCCTGGGGAATGGGGGTCGTTTGCGTTCTTTGTTAGCCTGAAATCACTGATACTGGTCTATGCCTCTGAAAGGGGAGGGTTCCTACAGCATAAGGCAAGTTCAACTCAAGACTTTTTAAGACTTTTTAATGCCACTTAAAGGTATACTATGCAACCAGTGTTGATTTTCCAGCGAGGCTCCCCCCAGAGGGCGAAAGTAAAAGTGCACTGTCGCAAATATGCTCAGCTGTTCTCCTGGTTTCTCCGTCAAGCCAGACGCGGTTGTTTTGAGCTTAGCAGACAGGCGAACGCAACGAATCACCATGTCTACTGCGGTAAGGCCTTGATTTTATATTGAAGAATTCAATGCCTTTTAAGACTTGACCCTGAAGGGGCGTTAGGGGGAATTGCTGGCCTGGCTGAACAGGCAAGATGTTTTGGTTCCCTGTATGGGGGTTGCGATGATATCAGGAAGGAATCAACTCTATCGCTGCATTGTAGGTTTTTTAAAAGCTGAACCCCGAGTCCACCTCCTCTGTTTAAAGGAATAGTACACCCAAAACATGATTAGCCTTCATTTTCTACTCACCCCCATGCTGAACAAAACTCTGGAGTACTTTTTTGATATCTCAAATGCATCTGGAGATCTGGGAGGCTTCTTGCTGTCTGCTGACATTCAAATAATGGAGGTCTATGGCGCCCGAGACAGAAAGGTCCACAAAAGTCCACAAAAACGTGTCAATATTCCTCCATACTGCTCGTCCAATGTAATCCAAGTGTCCTGAGTGGGTAGCATCCAGAATTTACTCGAAACGAAGTCATTTAGAACGATTTAGAGCCTAAACAGTAGTGTATAGGATTTCCTAATAGCGCCCCCCATGCGCGCTCACGATCCTACGGAAGCCGGCAGACCAAACCAGCGCATTCAGTTCGGCAAAGAACTCATGCTCTTCCTCAACACGGAAGTCCTCAGACATTTTTCTTTCGTTGTTTCTTTCTTTGCACGGGTAAACAGCACATTTCTTCTTCTACGCTTGCATTATCGGCAGAGCAGACGCTGAATGCGCACTCTCTTCCGGTTTGGTCTGCCGGCTTCCGTAGAATCGTGAGCGCGCATGGGGGCGCTATTAGGAAATCCTATACACTACTGTTTAGGCTCTAAAACGTTCTAAATGACTTCGTTTCGAGTAAATTCTGGATGCTACCCACTCAGGACACTTGGATTACATTGGACGAGCAGTATGGAGGAATATTGACACGTTTTTGTGGACTTTTGTGGACCTTTCTGTCTCGGGCGCCATAGACCTCCATTATTTGAATGTCAGCAGACAGCAAGAAGCCTCCCAGATCTCCAGATGCATTTGAGATATCAAAAAAGTACTCCAGAGTTTTGTTCAGCATGGGGGTGAGTAGAAAATGAAGGCTAATCATGTTTTGGGTGTACTATTCCTTTAAGGTTGGTTTTTCTTTCTTAACATAAATGGCTTCCTTCACTCCCCTTTCAAACCACTTCTCTTCTTTGTCCAAAATGTAAACATTCTCCTGCATCTTCCTAGAATAAACACAGAAACCTAATGTCAGCTGTTTTATGGCTAAATTTACTTCCTGCTGGGACCAACTTCTTCTTATTTAGTATTGACTAGTATTGTAATTTTGTGACCTACTTCCAGTGATTTCAGGATAGACTTCCTGTTATTACGGTACAAGCTTCCTGTCATCACGCATCGATTTTCTGGGATTTTGACCGACTTCCTGATATTTCAGGATCGACTTCCAGATTTTTGGGACTGACTTCTGGACTAAGTTGATGATGACGACTTTTGGCGATTTCAGGACCTTCTTCCTGTTGTTATTGGGACTGACTTCCTGGGATTTCAGGATGACTTCCTGAGATTGAAAAAAGCCACTTTCAGAACTTATTGAAAAAAATAACAAACTTCTGAGTACCCGAACTCTAGTACCGAATTCTAAAAGTGGGACTCACTACCTCCTTGCACCCTCTACAAATCTACAAATTTAAAGGCTTTTTAGGTTGAATTGAAACTTAATTTCAATTTTTTTTATAATTCAAATAAAGCTACCAAAGTCCACAGACTGTGCTTTGCAAGGAGCTGCATTTAATCTCAGAAACTGTTTAAGTCCAGTCCAGTATTACTTAGTACTGGACTTAATGTAATGTCCAGAATCTGGAAAGAAAATGTTGAAACCTAAACTTAGAATACCTCCATAACCCTCATTTGATTAACAAAACATTGTAAAGTGAATCAATTCACACGATTTTCTTAGCTTGGTGACATTGAATGAAAAATAGGAGAGAAGTTCAGAATCCGTTTTTATTATTTGAGGATATTGGAGCTGATGAAGGCCGACCGGCTGCTGCTTTTCTAGCTTGAAAGTCTAATAATATACCTCTTTTGGTATTCCGAAGGCTGTGAAATTCTCTAATAAATATCTTGACTTTACAAAATTAAC